GTGCCTGATAGGGGGGAGCTCCCCAACCCCCTGATTGCCCTGCGGCTCTGTGTGTGACAGGGTGTGGCGCCCCAACGCCCTGATCGGCCCTGCTGTGTGGGGACAGGGTGCGGAGCCCCAAACTCTCCCCCTCACGGGTCCTGCTCTGTGTGTGATGGGGTACAGCCATAACCTCCCCATCGGCCCTGCCCTGAGTGTGAGAGTGGCGGCGCCCCAACGCCCTGATCGGCCCTGCTCTGTTACGTGACAGGGGGTGGCATCGCAACCTCCCCATCGACCCTGCCTTGAGTGTGACAGGGGACGGTGCCCCAACCCCCCAATGGGCCCTACCCTGAGCGTGTGAGGGGGGCGCATTGCAACCTCCCAATCTGCCCTACTCTGTGCATGACAGGGGGCGGTGCCCCAACTCCCCAATCTGCCCTGCTCTGTGCATGACAGGGGGTGGCGCCCCAACTCCCCAATCAGCCCTGCTCTGAGCCCGACCAGGGGCTGCACCTAGGGATTGGGCCTGCCTGAGCCTGACCAGGGGCTGCACCTAGGGATTGGGCCTGCCCTCTGCCACCTGGGAGCAGGCCTAAGCCAGCAGGTCGTTATCTCCTGAGGGGCCCCAGACTGTGAGAGGGCACAGGCCGGGCTGAGGGACACTCCTCCGCCCCGAGTATACAAATTTTTGTGAACCGGGCCTCTAGTTGTGATTATAATAACCCAGGGTGAATGAAATGTACAGACAGAGAATGCTGAAGAGATTGAATGAGTGAAGAAATTAGAATAAGGAACTCATTGAGAAACACACACCTCACCCAGCACATTGCATTTCCCCATTTTGGGTATTGAACTTACATTTAAGCTGCCATTGAGTGGCATGTTTGTGAAGTTCGTGCGGCATTTCAATGGAGAACAAACGAAAGGATTCTTCCAGTTCTTTTATCTCTTCCTTGCTCAAGTTGCCCTTGGACCAAGGACGCAGGAAAATAATTCTGCCAGAGTTGTTGTCCCAGCCATGAGTCTGCAAGTCACCCAACCAACCAGAGTGCCGAATTTTCACCCAGGAATGGCTGTAGAAGGAGGAGCTGTGGATAATTATGAAGGAGATCTCCTGGAAGGCTGTGGCAAAAGAACAGGTAGAATGAGGAGAAGAAAAGGCATCGGGATGGAGAGAAAATGAAGAAAGGTGCCAGGAAGGAAACACTCAGAATTGGTAAATTAGGGAAGCCATGGCTACCTCAGCAGACATTCAGCTGCCCAGGGCCCCAGGCTTTACAAACAACCTTCAGAAGGGGACAGGGTCCCCGAGTACGGGATACTGAGAACTACACTGACATTCTCCTGAAGTGCAGGAGGCAGCCGATTGATGATTCCCTCTCCTTCTCCCTCTTTCTTCCCCTCTCTCTAAAAGTCAATTAAAAATCTTTACAAAAAGATTTACGCCTTAACCAAACACATTGATCAAAGCGTGCACGCTCACACACACACACACACACACACACACACACACACACACACACACACACACACACAACTCACTCACCCTCTTTTCCACCCAACAGGGCAGTTGCCAGAGTTCTTACCATCTTCATTGTCACCAGTTGTGAGGAGAACTGCTAGCAATGGAATTTGCAGAAGCAGCATTTGAGTTACAGATGTTATTTTTTTCTCAGGAAAGTTTGTCTTTGGCTTTTTAAAAAAATAAAACTGCTCCAAAATACCTCTATTCTGACTTCCTTCTTCTACCAACAAACCACCACCACCAAAAAAAAAAAAAAAAAGAAGAAGAAAAAAGTGCTCCTTCCCGAAACTCTAGGCACTGATTCAGCCTCTCATTTCCCCTCCACTTCTGGCTTTCAACTTCTCCCCTCACTACCAGCCTTCATTCTGCTCATCTTTCTCTAATTCAGCCTCTATGGACTAAGTGTTCTGTGCTATTGAAAATTTAGTTTACCTCTGGGGACATTTTCTTCTCATTCAGACAATGAAAGCATAAAACCAAATGGTTTTCCAATTCCTACTGATGTTCTGTTGTCCCTGCTCTTTCCTGTCACTCTGTCCTATTTACTTGCCTAATTTAAATTTTCTTCAAATAACACTCTTCTGTCTAATCCCCACCCCACTGCATTCATATCTCTGACATCTCATGGTGGATTTTTTGATTTTCAGAATCTCCTGACTGCCCTGTGTAACAGTATAAACTACTACTCCATTATCCTTAGGGAAGAACCAGTAGTCATCACAGAGACGACAGGAACCTGGAAACATAAAGAAACATCTCCATCTCCTCTGACTTGCATTGATATTTACCCAAATGAATGTTTACCCAAAGGTCACTCAGCACCTGCCTGGATACAAGCACCTTGCAACACTCATGAGTATCTAGTGGTCTACAGGCAATCACTTTATTCAAGGAGTTTTATTCTATTTAAGAAGAAATTACATAAACTAAAAACTATAAACTTTATTGTGTGGGGGGCGAGGGGTTATTATAATGTATAGACTAGACAAAAACAACCCTTCTTGAAACAAAGTCCCAACCCTTAACTGATGTTGCCCACGCAGAATCTTGGCCTCAGTGATTTGCTCAGGGCGTTAGGTCTGTATATCTCTGTTGTACTGAGTCCCCAACTCTAGCAGAATGCCTCCTGGCAAGGTGCTCAGTGAATAAGTTTGAATGATTGAATAATTGGGTTCAGGCATCCAATTATTTTTTTCATTAGACAGATTTTTAACATTATTGTTTAAGGTATCAGAAATCTCTGCTTGTATTTCTACTTGGTGAAATGAGAATCTTACAGTTTTATTTAGGATTAAAATATATGCTAATAAGCATGAAGTTTTCATAGAGCTTTATGCAGTAAATTTATTAGTTAAAATTTTTTTAAAAACAGTGATAATTTGTGGGAAATTAAATTAATAGAACATTCTGGAGTTCTATATCCAAGATTTTCTTCTTACTGGCCCTGCTTGGATGGTCCAGCTTATTTTATCATACACTGGTCTTTGCTGGCCATGCTGACCCTGTTCTTTCATGCTTATCCTGTTTAAAAGGCTCTTAAAATGTTTTCCTTTGTAACTTCTAGATATATGTGCTCTGGCTATTTTGTTATTTATTTGTATAAAGTAAACAAATTATCTAAGGCTAATTCTTAAAATATTTTGGAAAAATTTAAGATTATCTCAACATAAAATTAAAAAGCCAAAACACGAGGCAATAAGGGTTTATTTGTATTGCAATTTGGGAAACACAGATTCAAGCAGAAACCACATAGGGTTCTGATTATAGGGTGAGAGGAAGGAAATTTTAGGGGAAAAGAATGGGATAATTGAATAAATTCAAAAAAAAAAGATTTCTATTGGTGCTAACAAGCTGATAAGCTAAATTAGTCTATGGCTATTGTAGGGGTTCAGAACAGGCCTCCCCAGAATGTGCCACTGTAGCATTTGTATTATTTTGGGCCTTAGCATTTGAATTATGTTGAGCCAAAGACAATTAAGACCCTGCAGGCATATAAGAAACTTTACTTCTCCCTTAAAAAATTTAAATGAGTAGACTTGCCCATAATAAGCTTTCAGCAGAAACATTTTTAAACTAAAATGTTTAAAATGTTTAATCTTCACGGCAGGGCAAACTACTAGTTGCTGAACATCTCTTATTATGAAATTTGAAGCCCCAACCATTCCTACCTCATCTTTACCTCAGAATAGGATCTCATACCTCAATTTAAAAAGTGCCATGTGGTAAATCTGACAAGTTCAGTGACAGAAAGTAGCCTCACAGGGTGACCTATCATAACTTGCTAACTAGGCAGGTCACAATGGGTAGTCATGCTCCAGGTCTATAACAGGTGTATCTTTGCCTTAAGCAAGTTCTGTCCATTGTTCTTGTGCATCTAGGTCAGTGGTTCTCAACCTTCCTAATGCTGCGACCCTTTAATACAGTTCCTCATGTTGTGGTGACCCTCAAGCATAAAATTATTTTTGTTGCTACTTCATAACTGTAATTTTGCTACTGTTATGAATCATCATGTAAATATCTGATATGCAGGATGTATTTTCATTGTTACAAATTGAACATAATTAAAGCATAG